CTGATCTGAAGTGGCGGAGGCAGACCAGTGACATGCAAGGCGGGACTTGGACGATGACATGACGGGGTCGATGATGAGGTGGTAGGTGTCTGGCCCACGTGATGATATGGCACTGATGTGGACAGATGACGAGGCGCTGACTGAGATGTTAACCAAAATATTTGTATATATTTTGCATAAAATCTTAGAGGGATTGAACCATAGACCTCTAGTTGAATTAGCTAAGGACTTAACCATCTTTGCTAGGCTACTCCTTGTATAGAATGTTGGCTAAAAATATATGTATACTCTTGTGCTCTGCAGCCACATTTCTTATTGTTCACCAATTTCTTTCTATAACTTATCTATATTTCTTCTTTTTGGTGAACATTACAAATAAAACAAATAAATATAAAAATCAACTAATTAATTAAAATAAATAAAAATAAAATACTAACTAAAATAAATTTGGGGATAAAGAATGTATAAAATGTGAACTCATCACTCGAGCCTTTGCAAAAAGGGATCGAGCACAAACTCCATCCGAATATGAAAAGATGCTTCGGAAGATCCATGTTGCCAGACCTCGAGCAGAAACCAAAAAGCTCGAGCATAATTCAAAAAGCTTGAGTAGAAGTCCCAAAGCTCAAGCACCAAGTCAAGGTGATCGAGCACCGTGAATAAATTATCCAAAAATTTTCTAAGTGTTGATAAAAAAGACGCTTCAGAAATTATTTGAAGAATACTAGCTAAGTATGGAATTCCTGCTCAAGTATAAGTCAAAAGGCTCGAGCACATGCCAAAAGGTTCGAGCAGAAGCTAGCAAGCTCTACTCGAGCCTTTGATGTTAAGACATACTTTAAAGTTGCGGGATTAATTATATTGAGTCCTAATTCGTCCCAAACGAGCTTAGATGACCCCAGAAGACCTAAAGACCATCCACTCCTTGTTATAAGTCAGTTGCTTATATAAAAGGATGCATAAGGCCACAAAAATTATCTTTTGTTCTCTAGTTTTAGTTTTCATTATTCTGGCGGCTTTTAGGGTTTTTGGAAGTTGTTCTGAAGCATTGAAGGTGAAGATCCTTAAAAGAGAAGTGCAGTCCATGATGATGAAGACCACAACAACACAGATGATATCTTGCGTCGTCATGAGTTGCTAAATCTCCTCTTAGGGCATTGATGTGACCCGAATCTGAATATTATGGTTTGATTGTTCTATAATTTGGGAATTTAACTCTTTATGTATTTTGATTACATGATTATGGGCAATTGACTTAGATCAATTGGTTTTTAATAAAGTACATGATTTTTGAATGATTAATACCTTGTCTTAGATTTAATTGTTCATTAATTATATTCAACCTATTCTTAGCGTACGAGATTGGTGGCTAAGGGCTTCTCGGACAATAAGAATAGAGATCATGCAACAGTGTTCAAACGTTTTCATTAATGAATATTTTTATAGTTTATGCACAGGGAAGACGAGTTATACTATATCATTAGTTAGAACTAAGTAGGTAGATAATTCGTGCCAACTGAAGATAGGTTATTATTAATTGAAATTCATGAAACATTTTAATTAAATCTGAATTAAACAAATGTTATTGAGTTTAATTCCATATTATACATAAGTGTTGAAATGCCAAGGTTGAATAGTTGACCATAATATGAGGTTTGTGGTGAAGTCAATCCCTAAAATCTTCTCTCTCTGATCTTATTCCTTTATTTAGTTTAATTTTATTTATGCCAGTGACACACACCAAATCAAACAATCTTCTTATCTATATAAAATAGTATTAATTGAAGGGTTGAGAATCCACCAGAGTCCCTAAGGTTCAACACCCTCTAAGTAGCCCTATCTTGCAAATGATTCATTTTATTACGAGTGGTAATTTTATAATTAGAAATTTCACACACATCAGGAAGCAAGGCAACACAAAGAGAGAAGGCATAAAAAAAAAAGAAGCAAAAATGGAGGAAAAAGAGGAAAGAGATAGCGAAAGAAACGAAATGGGGAAGAAGAATAAAGAAGATGGATAACAAATATTCTAAAAGAATCCCAAAATTGCAAAGTGACGTCTCTAAAATCCAAAATGGAAATATTTTCAAAACATAATCGCACTCTTGCCCCAAATAAAAATATATGCAAAAGATAATTACACAAATACCCCCAAGCAATAAAGTCAAAAGTGTAAACAAGTGCAATATACATCCATGATGATATGAGGGTAAAACATGCAAGTATGGAATGAATAAAGTGTCTGGAATTATCCTTGATCACTTGACTCGATCTTGGGCCGACATGTCCTGAAGACAAAATAAATAAAATAAAAATAAGATAAATGCAAAAAAAAAAAAAGGAAAAAGATGACAAGGTCATCACAACTGTCGTCCGCCGCCATCTTCCACCATTGCGACCACCCGCCGCCTTCCAAACCACCACCTATACCACTACCATATGTTTTCCACCTCCACCATCATCTTCACCACCATCCAACACCACCACCATTTCTTTTATAATAATAATAAAAGAATGTTATTTTGTTAACTTAATTTATTGTCATTAAGAGGGGTATTTTGGATAATTCAATTCATTATAGTCTAAATTTTAAATTTGTCTAACCAAACACTAGAATGATTATTCATATACATTTCATATTTGCAACCAAACAATAGAATTAGAATGACTATTCCATTATATTCCCATACTCATTACATTCCTACTTGCATTTCATTCCATTCCTGCAAAACAAATGCAACATAATAGTAATCATATTTGTGAAAGGAAATGAAAGGAAACCATTTTATTGAATTACAACTATACCATTTTTATAGATTTTATTTTATTTTATAAAAATAATGACAAATTTGATATTAACAAAGTTTCATTATAAATATTTGTGTTTCATTCCATTTTGAAATGATAACAAAAAGTTACTATTCATGCCTTATTGCATTCCACTGAATCATTTTTTTTCCTTCCAACATTTCATACTAGAAACAATTTATCATCTTTATTACCATTATTATTTTTTCCCTTTTATTTCCATTGTGCCAAATTGGCCCTAAAATCGCAGCATAAGAGATTATGGATTATATATTTAAAATACGGGTGCAACTTGGGTTGGGTAACCTGAACCCACCCAAGCCCAGCTAGATTTTTCACAGGCTTAGACAATCATTTTTATGATTAAGTTTGGGTTTGGGTTGAAAATTTTCAACCCGAACTTAATTAGGGTTGAGCTTGGATTGATATGCTATAAACTTGGGTCGAACCTGAAACCGAATTCTATTTTTTTTCTATACATATTTTTATTTGAAATGCATTATATATAATGTTCAAATTACGATCACCTTTTTTCTTTTTAACTTCCTTTGTTAAATCTTAATTTATTTTATGTTAACATTTAGTAGAATTAATTTTCTAAGAGTTTGTTGGTAATTTATTTATAAATTTGCAATAAGTTTTTAAAACTTTTTTTAAGAGTAATTTAATCATAAAGTAATCCAAGCTCACATTAAATTTGCACCGTGGAGATTGGTCATATAAGTAACCCGAATTAGTCCGACTTTCTAACCCGAAATCTAAGCCCGAATTGTAAACCCGAGTTAAAAAAAAAAAAAAATTGAGATGGACTCGGGTTTAATAGTTAGGGTTGAATATAGAGTTAATGTTAAGATCGGGTTGAATGTAGGGTCAGGATTAGACTCGATTGAACATTTTATATATTGAGTTGGGCGAAAGGTATGCCTCCAATCTGTTTGAGTTGCAGCCTAATTTAAATCTATCGGGTCTAACAATTTTCGAGAAAAAAAATGGGGAAGGGGCGGCACAGGTTAGGCGAAGTTATACTTACAACTCGCTCGACTTCCCACCCTAATTTGGCTTCGTTTGGATGGGAAGATTTGGGGGGATTTGGAAAGAAAAGAAAGGAAAGGATAAGGAGTATTGTGTTTGAATTGGATGATTTGAAAAGGAAAGAAAGGATTGAGAAGGATTTGGAGGAATATTTATCCCTCCAAATTACTCATTTGGAATCCCTCCAAAATTGACAAGATATGGAAGGATTTGGAGAGAAAGGGAGCTAATGACAAAAGTATCCCTCCATGGATGCTGATGACCACAAGCTGTTCTACAAATTGGCAGTTGCAGAGAGAGACCTTGATTACAGACCTTGATTAGTTGAAAAACAAGAATTACAAGTTGATTAGTTTTTTTTTTTTGGTTCAAAGAATAGTTGATTAGTTTGCAAAACAAGAATTACAGACCTTGATTAGTTGAAAAAAAATTAAAACAAAACCAATACATACAAGTTAGCAGTTGGAGAGAGAGAGGGGGGCAAGCTTGAGAGTTGTGAGACAGCGGCGGAAGCTTGCGAACGGCGAACCTGAACTGGAACAGCGGGTGAGGGAAACAAAAAGATATGGGTTTTGATTTTTGGAACATCTGAAATGATATGCCGATATGGGTTTTGATATATTTGAAGACAGATAGATAAACTGAAATATATAGGTTTTAATCTTCTGATTCTTGTAGATTTTGTAATTTACAGTTGGGGAGAGAGAGAGAGGGCAAGTTCAGATTTATGAGAACGAGAATTGAGAGAGATGGAGGCCGGTATGGGTTTTGATATACTTGGAGACAGATAGATAAACTGAAATATATGGGTTTTGATCTTCTGATTCTTGTAGATTTTGTAGTTTACAGTTGCACAGAGAGAGAGGGGGAGTTCAGATTTATGAGAACGAGAATTGAGAGAGATGGAGGCGGTTGGGGAGGCTGAAATGATTTGCCCTATTAACCCCGGTAAGATGATAATTTTATTATTATCCGTTTCCTTCTTTTATCTCATTTGCGTTAGCCAAACAATAATATTGTCAATTTTTTTCTTTTCGCTCTTACTTATCTAAACATGAATATAAATTATAGATATTCTCTCATTTATTTTCTCTTGTAAATTTCTAACAATTTTAGGGAAAAAAAAAAACAGAGAAGGGAAGGCCTGCGTTTGTAACACACAAGGCACGTTGCAGTTTTGTATGCCTCCCACCCAACCAAAAAAGAAAAGGAAAACCTACACCCTTCCCATCTCTCTCACACCCAAAAACTTGAAACAGAAGCTCTCTATACCCATTTTCTCTCACACCCAAAAACCCTAGATGCAACAATGGCATTAAGCTACTCCCTCTCACACCGAAAAACCCTAGATGCAACAATGGCATTAAGAGCTCTCAACACAATCTACTCGAAGCTCCTCTCTCGAATGGCTGTTTGTTCCCTCCGCACATTCGCTCCCATCAACTCCAATTCCCAATCAGATATTCCAACTAACAATTCGGATTCGGACTTACGTTCAAAACAACTTCCTCATGCCGAAGGTAAGAAAAACATAGCATTCAATCGATTTATGAAAGACGGGTCAACATTCCCCCGCAAGGTGTTGAACGACGACGAGAAATATGCTAGGATGGACATGCCGGTGACCCGGAAGCAAGGGCTGAAACTGTTGGTTGCAGACAACTCTCTGAATGCCTTGGAAGAGGTGGATGATGATCCTCTGTCCGTGGAGGAGTATCGAGTGAGTTACTACGGCAACATCGATCTTCCTCAGAGCCTCTACAAGATGGGAAATATCGTAACGGAGCTCAAGGACATTGCGTTTAGCTTGAAAGTAAGTATTACTTTAGTAGAATCGGATATTTAAGTTGTGCTTGTAAATAATAGGTTTTTTTATTTTTTATTTTTATAAAAGAATTTGCTTTATCAATTTGGGACTACAATTGATGGGATTTCAAATACTGGGTAGATTGGAGAAGAAAAATTTAATATTTTGAACTAATTTTTCTTTAATTAATTCCAAAGCACCAAATCCATGCAAACCACTAGTTTATATAGACTCTCGAGTACTTTCCGTATGTCTAATGTCTTCCTACCCTGTAGTTTTTCTTTTATCTCTATATTCCATTCCATCACATCTTCCAACTGCACTCAAGTTTAAACACTAAACCATTATATCACCCTCAATGAATTTGCGCCTACTCTTATTTATATTATAAAATTGGTTCTAGAATTATTAAAAAACATATTTTAAAGATATTTACGAGCAATCAGACAAATTTCTAGTTTAGAACATTTTGAGAAGTTAAGTTCATTTTTTTTATATACTCATTTTACAATTTTATATCTATATATAATAATATTTTCACTTCGAATCCCATCTTACATCCAAACTAAAAACTGAATTTCTTTCTTTCGAATCCAATTGTTCGAAACATACAAATGGAATTTCATTTTAATTCCTATCTAATCCCAATTCCAACTCCTTTTTCAAATTCAAATCCCAAAAGGAACTTTTTTTTGGATAAGTAAGGTTTTATGAAAGGCCCTCAAAAGGGGAGCGATCCCAAAGAAGACAACGGCGGACCCACAATCGGCTCTATAGCTTTAAGCTATCCACAAAATTCAAAAGACTATCCATTGAATTACAATCCCGCCCATATACGCAAAAAAATAAAGAAGTAAGAATATTGTATTTAATAGCCCAAATGGACGACTCCTCTCCTTTAAAGAATCTCCTATTTCTTTCGCGCCACAGACCCTACCAAATACAAAGGGGAGTGGCCCTCCAAGCATCTCTGACTCGACTTTCCATTGTCCATCCTTTCTAAGTCTTTAAAAAGTCAACCGTGGATTCTGGGAACACCCATGGAAGACCAAACGCAACCCAAAACGTAGCCCAAACATCCCTAGCTACTGAGCAATGAATAAGGAGATGGTTGACAGATTCCCCCATCTTCTTGCACATGTAACACATGTCAACCACAATATGACTTCTTTTTCTAAGGTTATCAATAGTAAGGATACTTCCCAAAGCGACAGTCCACAAGAAGAATGCCACCTTCAGAGGAGCTTTTGTCCTCCAAATGGCTTTCCAAGGAAACATAAGGCCAGGGCGCTCCAACATGCATTTGTAGAAAAAATTGACCTTGAACACTCCTCTCCGGGTACCCACCCACAACATCTCGTCCATGCCCACCCTGACCACCACTTGTTTATAGATGAATGCTAGGAAGTCTGTAACCTCCAAAAGTTCCTAATCGTGAAACTGTCTGTGGAACTACACATCCCAAGTCACCTTCCCATTATCGAGTCGATAATAGTTAGCGACCACTGCATCTCTAGCCATAGCAATCCGGGAAATGCGAGAGAATCTACTGGCTAAATCCGAATCCCCACACCATTTGTTTTCCCAAAACTTGAAATTACTCCCGCTTCTAACTTTGAACCGAATACGTTTGGAGAATTCATCCCAACCTCTACGGATAAGTTTCCAAGAGCCCATACCTGCTGGGGTTCTAGGCTCCTAGCCTTCCTAGAAATCCACCCTTTATTGCCCTCCCCGTAATGACAAGCTATAACACGCCTCCAAAGCTTGAACCTTTCTCTCCCGAACCTCCACAACCACTTGCCCAACAATGCCTTATTAAACACATCTAGCCTTCGAATCCCCAAACCCCCTTTATTAATTGGAGAGCACACCCTCTCCCAGTTAACCAAGTGGTACTTGAACTCACCTCCTACACCCCCCACAGAAACTTCCTTTGAATATTATCAAGTCTTCGAACAACTGTCTTAGGCATCGGAAATAGCGACATATAGTAGGTCGGAAGATTTGAAGTGTGCCTTTCATAAGTGTAACCCAACCCCCCCCCCCCCCCCCCCCCCCCCCCCCCCCTTCTGGACAAGTATTGCTTTTTTCAACTTGCAAGCCTCTTCCCAAACCGCTCAACAATCGGATCCCACACAGAAACTCTCCTTGATGAGGCTCCCAAAGGGAGTCCCACGTAGGAGATCGGAAAAGAGCCAACACCACACCCAAGAGTATGCCAAGGCATGAATATCATCCACCTCCTCAACTGGTACAATCTCTCTTTTCACAGTGTTAATCTTCAACCCTGAAACAACTTGGAAGCAGGCCAGTACGCACCGTAAATACCTCAACTGAAGGTGGATAGCATCACAAAAGACAATGGTGTCATTCACAAAAAGAAGGTGGGAGATGACCAACTGATTTGGAGCTCTACCCACCGAGAATCCATGAATGAACCCAAGATCACCCGCCCCCCCATCAGACGGCTAAAGGCCTCCATGACGATAATAAATAAGAATGGGGAAAGAGGGCCCCCCTGCCTCAATCCAAGAGAACTAGCAAAAAAACCAGCTGGGGATCCATTCACTAAAACAGAGAATCGAGCAGTCGAAATACAGAAAAAAATCCACGACCTCCACTTTTGCCCAAAGCCCATTCTCTCCCTCAGGTACATCAAAAAATTCCAGCAAATATGATCATAAGCCTTTTCGATATTCAGCTTGCAAACAACCCCCGGAATACCACTTCTCTCCCTAGCCTCAATGCATTCACTAGCAATCAAAATTGAATCCAGAATTTGACGCCCTCCAACAAAAGCATTCTGGGAGTTTGAAATCACCCCTTCGAGAACTCTCCACAACTGAAGACTTTTGCAATAATTTTATACACCACCCCAACAACACTAAGTCCTTCGCCTCACATGCTCCACCCTCTTTGGGAATAAGAGTGATGAAGGAAGCGTTGAGGCTCTTCTCAAAAGAACCATGCAGAAAAAAAGAATCCAATGCCCCCATCACCTCAGCCTTCACCACCTCCTAATTCTGATGAAAGAAAGCTAAAGTAAACCCCTCCGGCCCTGTAGCTTTATCCCCATCACAGCTTCTTAGAGCCGCCAACTCCTCATCTTTCCCAAACGGCATTTCAAGCCCGTCTCTATCGCCTTCCGAGATTGTTGCAAACTCAAGCTCATTTGAAAAGTTGTTCATTTGAACTAGACTTGGTTTATAGCGTGCCCCTGTAAGGAGGTGATGATATGCTGTGTTTACATTTTTCTGAAGGAAAGAGGCATTGAAGGTTACAATGACAGAGGGGGCTCTTTTTGCAGTGAGGTCCTATTTTCATATAGAGTAAATTAACTAGAGGAGTCCTCTCCTTCTGAATACTTCTAAGGACTAATCCATATGAGGGAGCCATTAGTTTCTGGGAGACATTGATTCGCAAAAGACGGAATTTTGCCAGCGGTGGGATTCATGGGCGTAATAGGAAACTATGATTTGTAGTCTCTGCCTATTTTTACATGTCAATTACCTTACTTCTGTTTTTGCTTCATGTTCTTTTTAAATATTGGAGATTATAGCAGAATAGGTGGTTTATTTTTGCAGTATTTCAATTAAGCTCAACATTTCTGGAAGGGGAATTGTAGCATCAGGCTAGATTGTTTGTCAGGAACCTTTTATTATGAACCCCATAGTAATTATTCAATTAATTTGTGAGTTCCATTGAACAAGATTATGTGCCATGTAGACCACTTTCTTGTGTATTTCTGGTATTCTCCATCACTTATAATGAATACTGTTGTTATAGGTGGAATATGAAGCATCCGGAGTGAGCTTTTGGTAGAAATAGCTAGGGGCACTTCCATACAGGATCTTCATGCAAGGTTAACAAATAACATCAGAAACCCTCCTTCACAAATTCCCCCCCCCCCCCCCCCCCCCTCCCCTTCTTCTCTCTCTCTCTCTCGTGTTTTCAAAAACAAACTCATGAGATGATGGATAACAATTAGGAAGTACGAAAAATCGAGAGCCCACTTAGTGACACTGACAGTGCTCCCTTGGCTGTTTTTCTTTGGTAGAACACTTCCATTGATTTTAAAAATAGTGGTTGATAAACTGGTAGATAAGATTATTTTCACTCACTACATAGAAACCCAAGTAAACTTTATGCAGCATTAGGCTAATTTTTCAATTCCATTTACTGACTTTCACCTCTATGTTGGGGCCTTTTCTTGGTTCACTTCTCCAAAAAAAGGTTGAGTGTATAGTACAACTAGCGGTGCACACGGTTCGGTACCATCCCTGGGTTAAATGAGAACCAAACTTATCCCAACAGTTCCTAGAAAATTAGAACCAGAACCAGAAGCGGGCCATAGCAACTGTAAAATCAAACAGAACCATAAGAGATCAGTTTGGTCCGGTTATATCCACAGTTCTGGACTTTAGTAGTAGGAACCTGTGCCACCATTCTAACATGTGATTCCATACCTCCCAGAGATTTTGTCAATTCATCTCCTACTTTCACTTCTCTTTCAGCAAGCGTGAGATTGAGACTCAAATGATGTAAAATAGTGGCAAAATCTCTGTTGGGTGCATGTGTTAAAAAACTATGAACAAACTTAATAAATGTGAAGAAATTATATGATTAAGCAAAAAGCCACAACATCATATATATATATATATATATCATTAACAGTTCAATCCTAATGGACATTGGACCCCAAACCAGAACTGAATTGTGAGTTAGCGGTTCTCTGTTTTTGGAATTGGACCAGTCCAAATCATAACAAAACTAGATTGAACCATACGGTCTGGTTCAGTTCGGATCGATTCACCGGTTCCACTGATTTTTTGTGCACCCCTAATTACAACAAGTGATGCGAGCAGATGTATAATCAAATAATTTGGGGTCTAATTATATTAAGATGAAGTTGCCAACTAAGGGAGCAGGCTTGCCAGGTTATAAAAGAGATGTATGAAATGCATTTGTGTAGGTGAAATAAGAATGCTTAGCTAGATGAGAAGTATGAAATGCATTTGTGTAGGTGAAATAAGAATGCTTAGCTAGATGAGAAGTATGAAACACATTTGTGCGGCAGAAATAAGAATGCTTAAAGAGATGATACGAGTAATTAGAAGTAATATGGTAAATGATTAACGTGTGACATAATCAAGAGTTACACTTGTTGCTAATAAATTATAAGGAAGGCCAACTTAAGTGGTCTAGACATGTATAATTTAGACCCGTGGATACACTTGTTAAGAAATATAAGATTAGTTTTAAGAAAAATAGGATAACCAATATGGGATAGAATAAAGATGCATGACATGAATGATTTAATATATAATATATAATAATCTATATATGGGTAAATGAAAAGGTGCAAGTTGTATTCTTTTACTTAGTGAGCATGGTGACATGTGAGAGTGTCATTATGAAAGTGAGTGCAAGTTGCATTTACTTAGTGAGTAAGGAGGTTGCAAGTTACATTCTTTACTTAGTGAGCAAGGAGGTGACATGTGAGGGCATCATTATAGTTAGTGCAACTTGCATTGTTTTACTTAGAGAGTAAGGTGACGTGAGAAAGTGGGGTCCGCGTCATTATGAAAGTGAATGAAAGTTACGTTCCTTTCCTCAGTGAAGAAGTTCAGATTAGGCCATAAATAAGGCTCACCTTTGTATTGTTGAGGCAGCTTGAATGAAATTAACAATATATCAGTTTTATAATATGTTTGAGCTTGAGCTCGGTGTGAGATATATATCTCTTTTCCTGCTTCCGTTACGTGAGGTGGTATCAGAGCCTTGATTTACCCTGGTTTGATGTTGAATGATTGTTTCGGCAGCAACCGCTTTGCCGAAGAAGATCGCAAAGGCAGTCATTCATACTTAAGAAAAACAGTTTAGACAAATAGCTAGTCTTGGGATTTGTGGCAACCAGGTTCGTGATCCTGTTCGGGTTCGTGCTAGAGATTTTTCTCGCGGTCAACTGAACATGGGTGTAAATCCACGGAGGCCTCCAGCCTATGCGAATTATTCCGATAATGAGGAGTTAGGAAGATTCGGGATGGATTGGTGTGACCGAGCTAGGCCAGACAAAAACCAAACATATCTGAACACTCATGATTGTTACATGAAGATTGATCTTCCCAGTTTCAGTAGATATCTTCATATTGAGGATTTTTCAGACTGGCTGAACGATGTTGAGCGTTTTTTCGAGTATATGGAGATACCCGAAGACAAGTAGGTTAAGCTTGTACAATACAAGCTTCAAGGAGGTGCTACATCCTGGTGGCCCGCTGGGAACAAAGTCAAAGACACCGGAGATGGCTCAGAAAGCAACCTGCCCAAATGTGGCACAAGATGAAGAAATTATTGATGGCCAGATTTCTCCCACAAGAGTATGAAGAGATCTCGCACCACCAATATCAAAATTGCATGCAAAGGTACTTACACCTATTAACCACTATATTGATGAGTACTACTGCTTGAATGAATGCAATAATCTCTTAAAGTCGGTAAACCAACATATAGAGAGATATATTGGAAGATTGCGAGTGGTAGAACATGATAAAATTCAGAATCCAACCGAAGAAGAACTGCCCAAAGCTTCTAAAGTGGAGGGGCATTGTTTTCTTGCTGGAGATGAGGCATAGTTTGAAGAGGGAGTAAAGGAATCCGATGATATGACAATCATTGTTAAGAGCAAAGAGTCACCTCGTTTTGGATCCAGTGCAACCTTTATGAGCTGAATAACAGTAGTTGATCTCAGACGAGTTACCAGTTGGTTTATCACCCATGCGAGAAATTCAACATCACAAAGATTTGGTTCTTGGCATGAGTTTACCAAACGTGCAACAATACTGCATGAACCCAGTCGAGAATGAAGTGTTGCAGAGGCAAGTTGAAGAGTTGGTTCCTATACCATGTTTTGATGATAAGATTGATATGGTGGTTGCCTCAAAATTCTTTTCGAATATTAACTTGATTTATTATCATCAAATCCGTGATGATTATGGAGACAAGTGTGCTTTCAAGACGAAAGAGGGACATGCCTATGCATTCGACCTTCCTGAGGGCATGGTCCTTTCTCCTACCTTCTGCTGATTTAGTCTAGTGTCACCTGCCTAGTGAACAGCTTTATTTTCAGCTTAACTCGAGGACGAGTTTTTCTAAAGCGGAGGAGTCTGATGCAGGGCATCCATGATTTGATATATAATATATATATAATAATCACTATATGGGTAAATAAAAATGTGCAAGCTGTATTCTTTTACTTAGTGAGCAACGTGACACGTGAGAGTGTCATTATGAAAGTGAGTGCTAGTCGCATTTACTTAGTGAGGAAGGAGGTTGCAAGTTGCATTCTTTACTTAGTGAGCAAGGAAGTGACACGTGAGGGCATCATTATAGTAAGTGCAACTTGCATTGTTTTGCTTAGTGAGTAAGGTGACATGTGAGAAAGTGGGGTCCACGTCATTATGAAAGTGAATGCAAGTTGCATTCCTTTCCTTAGTGAGCAAGTTCAGATTAGGCTATAAATAAGGCTCACCTTTGTATTGTTGAGGCAGCTTGAATGAAATTAACAATATATAAGTTTTATAAACTGTTTGAGCTTATGCTCGATGTGAGATAATTAGACACCATTCAAAAATTAAATATAATGGGAGAAAAGAATTTCAATAGTAAAGAATGAAATAAGAGAATAGATATGCTCGATTCCATTTATATGGGATAAAGAGAAGGATAATGATCACAAAGGCCTACACGGGTAGGCAAAGGTGGGCTGTAGCCCACCCGAAAAAAAAAAAATTTTTTTTTTTTTTTTTACTATACTAATGTTAGCCCAGCCCAAAAAAAAGAAAAAAATTAATAGTATTAGCCTGCCCACCCGAATTTTTTTTTTTTTTTTTTTTTTACTATACTAATGTTAGCCCAGCCCAAAAAAAAGAAAAAAATTAATAGTATTAGCCCACCCCAAAATTAGCCCACTCAATGAAGCCCAAGTCAACTCGGCCACCATACTAAAATAAAGGCCCCAACCAGCATGCAAAATGTAATGTGGTGAAACCAAATGAATAAAACTTTAATATATCATTGAATTCAAATATTTATCTATATTATGTTATAATTTTTTTTTTTTTTTTAGCATAAGAAATTTTGTTATTAAATTTATGTTTAATATTAGCCCACCCCAACGAGAAATCCTGAATCCGCCCTTGAATGATCATGATTCCAAACTTATAAAAAAAAGATGATGATCCCGACTTGATCAAACTGATTATTTGGATTGAATAAGATTGCCCTTTGCTACGTTCTTCATGTAGCATATATATATATATATATATATATATTCCTATTGTTGTTGAAGACTTTTGGTTTACCTTTAAATTTGGTTTGAACTTGAATTTGGATCTTCTGTAGGAGTTCAAATTAAAATGAAAATTGCATCTTCATCTGTCATCAAATTTGGCTGACTGATTTTTTGTATTTTTAGCCGCAAATGATGATGAGGAACACTTGCGACAGCCGGCGATGGTTTACGAGTCGTACTGATGCAGTTAATGATGCAACCAATGTTGAGAGTAATGCCTTTTCTACTAATGCAGCTGGTAATGCCTTTTCTACTAATGTATCTGGTAATGCAATCCACGGTGAAGCCCCAGGTAAGTGTGTTTATGGTGCATGTGCCCTCATTTTTCATTACTTTTCATTCGAATGATAATTTTAGTATAAGTTACATGATTTAAAAGCTCTATTTATACCTTACGAGTTTAGAGCCTGATGCAGCTGTATATTTTCATTGTTTTAACCTGTACTTATGAGCTTAGAACCTGATGCAGTTGTATGTTTTCATTGTTTTAACCTGTACTACTCTGTTCATTTGCATTATCCTCATAATATGTTGCACAATTTTTTATTTTTTATTATTTGTCATTTGAGAAAAATCCAATTTTGAATTTGGGTGGGAGCATCCTATAGATTGGCATCTCATATTAAAAGAGATAAAAATAAAGAAAAAGAAAAAGAAAAAGAAAAATATGGAGGGAGGAAATATGTAAATCTTATCTCTAGGTATCATAAATACCTAAGAGGCACGGAAACGGTTACGGGACACGGATTCGAAAAGACACGGTCACGGCAAATCCTAAAAAATTAGGACACGGACACTACAAATAATAAATACAATATGTACTTCAAGAAATTAAGAGTAGTATAATTTTTTTATCAGTCTAATAATGAAAAAAAAAAAATTGTGTTTTGCTGGGAAAAGAATGAATGATAGAAAGAAGAAAGAGAAAAACAAAGAAATAAAGAGGATAGGGGTTTTGTTAAAAACAGAATTAGGGCTTAGTGAGAATTCATGGAAGAGAAAAAGTTCATGGAAAGAAGAGGAAAAAGGAAAAAGAGATGCAAAAATAATTTTGTTGTGAAAGGAAAGAGTGAAGTATCTAGGGTTTGTGTTGAATAAGAAGAAAGAAAGAATAGGTGGAGAATCGGTGGATCATCTTCTTTTGGACTGTCTAGTGGCTTTTGACTGTTGGTATCTTTTGTTAGGCATGTTTCGGGTTTCGTGGGTGATGCCTAGATCTGCGAGAGGACTGAAGGAGGCTTGGAGAGGATGCTTTGTGGGAGGTCATGCTTGTGGGTTTTGGAGGACGGCGCCGTTATGCTTATGGTGGTGTCTGTGGAGGGAGCAGAAAAATAGATCCTTTGAAGGAGAGGAATCCTCGATTGTTGTTCTTAAGTCAACTTTTATTACATCTTTATGCGTTTGGGGTTTGGGCAGGCATTGTTCCTCCCTAGAGGAGATAACTGACTTTATTTCTTCCTTGGGTCCATAGGATCCTTTTGTTGTTTATGGGACACGTTCCCCTTTTGAATGCCTTTTATTGAATTTGCTTAATTATCAAAAAAAAAAAAAAAAAGAAGAAGAAAGAAAGAATAGAGGAGGAGAAAGAAGAAGAGAGAAAAGAGGAGAGAGAGAGAGAGCATCCACTGAGAGCGAAGCTTGGTTGGTGGGAGAACAAGAGAGAGTCAAAGATGATTGAGCAAGAGTTTGAACCTTTGAACTAAAATATAAGCATATATATTTGATTGTTTAATATAACACTTTTTTATAAAACAACTTTTAAGTATTATTATTATTTTTTAATAAGTAAAAATGGTATAAAAAGCACTCAAAAGGGGGAGGGCATCCCAAGAGAGCCACACAAGGCCAAATAGGGCCTCTACACTCTCAAAGAGTCCAAAAAATCAACAATCTTCTTTAAGGATCTATAATTTCTCCCTACAACCTAACAAAAAAGAGTAGTAATAATGGAGAACTTAAGCGCAGAGATAGTAGTCACTTTTCCATCAAAAGATCTATTTCTTTCAATCCACAGACACCACCAAACGCACAAAGGCGAAACCCTCCAAACATTCCAGGCTTGGCCCTACTGTAAAACCTCTCCAAGCCTCACTTAACCCTCTGGTAGTGTTGGGCATAACCCACTGAACCCCAAACAAACCTAGCATCAAGTCCCAACAATCCCTAGCCATATGGCTGTGCAAAAGAAGGTGGTCCACCGTCTCCTCATTTCTAAGACACATGCAACAAAAATTGACCACAACTTCTTGTTTTCTCTTCAAATTATTTTGTTTAATATCTTCCCTAGAACAGAGGTCCATGCAAAGAAAGCCACCTTTAAAGGGGCTTTTGAGCTCCAAACAGCCTTCCATGGAAAAGGAAGCCCTGCCCCCTCCATGAGACATCTATAGAAGGACCGAACATCAAAGCGGCCCTGAGTAACATGATCCCACACCCAATCATCAGAAACGCCGCCCACAATTTCTTGATGATACAATAGCTCCAGAAAACCAATGACATCCTCAATCTCCCAGTCTTGGAAGTGCCTCGTGAAACGAACATCCTAAAACGATCTCCCACTATCAAAGCGATAGTAGTCAACCACCATGGCATGTCTATCCATGGCAATCCTGAAGAGCCAAGAAAAAGTAAGATCAAGAGAACGATCACTGCACCAAACATCCTCCCCAAAACGAATTCTCCTACCATCCCTGAGTCGAAATTTGATGTGTTCTGAAAATTCATCCCACCCCTTCCGAATGGATTTGCAAACCCCAACTCCCCCTGGAATACGCACCTCAACGGAGGTCCACCCTCCTCTCCCCTCCCCAAATCGACTCGCAATCACCCCTCCTCCATAGCTTATGCCTATCTACCCCAAATCTCCACTACCACTTCCCGAGGAGAGCCTTATTGAATGGCACCAATCTTCTGATTCCAAAACCTCCAACCCGGATCTGGCAGCAAACCTTCTCCTAGCTAACCAGATGATACTTCAACTCCTCCCCCAAGCCCCCTCATAGGAAATTCCTCTGCAACCTCTTAATCCTCTCAGAGGAGGGACTCTGGAAAAGTGAGAGTAAATATGTAGGGAGGCTTGAAAGAGTGCTCTTCATCAGAGTAACCCTTCCACCCTTAGAAAGATACTGCTTTTTCCAACCCGCCAACCTCCTCTCGAATCTTTCCACCACACCATAGGATCCCATCTCCCCACACTCCTCCAAGGCGAACCAAAGGGTAAACCCAAATAGGAAATAGGAAAGGAATCAATGCTGCGCCTAAGAACATCAACTAACGTAGCAATCTTAGGAACCTCCCCAACCAGCACCAAAACACTCTTCCCTCCATTCACATTCAGACCCGAGACAGCTTGGAACCAAATCAGGATAAATATCAAATATCTGAAGTGGGGCACATCTGCAACACAAAACGCTAAAGTGTCATCAGCAAACATCAAGTGAGAAATCTCGAGCTGACTATTTGTGTCCTTACCCACCTCGAAGCCTCTCAGGAATCCCAAGTCAACATTCCTCCTCTACAATCTACTTAGAGCCTCCATCACAATAAGGAACAAAAAGGGAGAAAGCGGGTCCCCCTACCTCAAGCCCCTCGAACTGGGAAAGAAACCCATTAGAGCTCCATTCACGAGAACTGAGAATTGAGCACTCGAAATACATAACTCTATCCATCTCCTCCATTTCTCATCCTCTCCAACAAATAGAGAAAAAAGCTCCAACTCATGTGATCATATGCTTTCTCAATGTCCAACTTACATAAACCACCAGGAACCCACTCACATTCTGGAGTCCACACACTCACTAGCGATAAGGGACGAGTCTTAAATCTGACACCTCCCACTAAGGCATTTTGAGAATCAGAAATGAACCCATCCAAAACCCTCCTCAATCTGAAAGCAAGGACCTTGGCAATTAATTTGTAAATGCTTCCCACCAAACTGATAGGTCTAAAATCCCAAACCTCCAAACTCCCCCCCCCCTCCTTCGGAATGAGAGCAATAAATGTAGTATTCAAACTCTCCGACACGGATTCTTTGCCCTTTTAGGCGTGCCCATGTTTCCTAGATATATACTATTTATTTAGAGATTTGGTATGTTCAATAGTTGTTGCATAATATTACTGATTTTTTTTTCTTCATAAAAATCATTTTTACTTGGATTCTTAATTGTCTACTACCAAACCTGGACTGAGTACAGAACTCAAGTCATGGTTATGATATGAGAGCATGATATTGAGGTTGCAGTTTACAAGTATTAATTCATTCAGTTTTGAATCATAAGGCAATGTATATATATATATATGATAAATAGAAGGCAATGTAAATATATATATATTTTTGATAAATAGAAGGCAATGTAAATATTAGTTGAAGTTACATTTTTTATCCATTATTGAAGTGCTAATGCTTTATCTATTTACTCTTTCTGTCCCAAAAAAAAAGTGTCCATCTTTCCTTTTTGGGTTGTCCCAAAGTAATTGTCCACCATTCCTTTTTGGGTTGTCCCAAAGTAATTGTCTACTTTCCTTTTTCAAACAACATATTTCACATATTTCCATATATGTCCTTGGAATTTAAAATTTCAAACTTGAATATTAAAAAAAAGGGCAAGTTAGTAATTTTCCAGGGGGACAATGCATGTCCCACATGTCCCCTTAAAAATTACTACTCCCCAAAAGTGACATTTATATTGGGACGGAGGGAGTATTATTTATAAGTAACATATCATAAAATAGCGCTTGAAAAGGGAGCATAACCCAAATAGAAAGCTCACAGCCAAAACAATATGCTATATCCTCAAACTATCCCTAAAATTATCATATCTTCTACAAATTTACAATTTCAACCGTTTACCATAACAACTAACAAAAATAAGAATATAGAAAGAATAGAGAATTTGAGTGCCCAAGTAGGAGTCTCCTTCCCATCAAGAGATCTCCTATTACTCTCTCTACCAAATACCTGACCACGAGCAAAGAGGAGCAATTTTCCAAGCATCTCGAACTTGCTTCCATTGTACTTTCTCTTCAAGCTGTAAGCATGCTGTTTGTAGAATGAGGCATGACCAAAGAAACACCAAAGCAGGCAAGAATAAAGCCCTATCTGTCCCTAGTCACTGGGCAATGCAAGAGTAGATTGTTCACCGACTTCTCATCCATCTTACACATACAACACCAGTTGACGATCAGCTACGCTGACTCTACCTTCTCCTGAGGTTTATCAATGGTCAGATCCCTCTCTAAGGTTGTCCGCCCTAAGACCATGGTTGTTAAAATTGCGTTTCTAACTCGTATAAT